GATATTTTTATTAGTCTGGGCGTACGCCACTAGGTAGATAGTCAGAGTTGAATGTCAATGCTAATTATTTTACCTGGGTAGGATTTGATTTGGTAAGATTTGATTTTGATTGATACGAAATGGGTATTTATAGTAGGTAGGTAGGTAGGTAGGTAGGTATAAGCGATGGCATGCAATTCTTTCCGTGGGAATGGATGAAAGAAAAAGGATCTTCAAACCAAAACTTGAGAGATATATTATGGTTTGGCTTGGTTTGATAGAACAATCTGTCATTTTGATTGAAAGATCTGACGTGTACTCCAACTTTAACTTAATCGATGAATAACATCTGATACGGAGTACGTGGTCGATTTCAGCAACAGATCCCGAATTTCTTGGATTCGGTCCAGTCTGAGTCTTCTAGCTTACTTGTAATGAATGAATGATAAGGTCGGGTCGTTTATTCGTTGGCACGGTTGGTTCGTTCGTCGGAGAATAATATTGTATGATTTTCATGATTTTCGTGATTTTCGTGATTTCCGATCTTAGTTGATTACCTAGTGATACAGATTTCACCTTACTGCACTTATCAATAATCGAGCAGAGCGAGAAAGCCTCCACGGCAGTGGCTCCCAGAGGGCCAGCGGAGCGTCATTGCTTGATGGATATCATTGAAATGAATATTGGTAGGTAGGTAGGTGGGTAGGTATTCCGAGTAGACAATGGGAAAATTTGTAAGCGGAGGGAGTGGTTGAAGAAACCGATAATATTTAAAAGGGGTTAGAGTTCAGTTCGCCAGATAAGAATTTGCTTGGCTAGATATTTATGGATAGATGTTTATACACTCGTTCATCCAATGAAATGGGTGATCGACACGGGAAGCTGCATGCGAATGAGGGGCAGATTGTAGATTTGGGTTATGAGGTTCATGAATTGAAGTTTGAAATGGCTATTGTGTACAAAAATAGAGAGCTGGAGGGATTGACTTTTTCTTCATTGTCTGGTCTGTAAGTAAGTGCAAACTCGGCTTTTCTTATCGTCATTTTGTTTTACGAGATGTGAGCTAAGATTTGGCAAATGCTCATCGCAGGTATCATATCACGTGGGAAGAAAGAAGTACTAGGTAGATACTCGGTCGGTACTAGACAAGCTCTCAAAAGTCAATGGTTGGAAATTCGATATACTGGTATCTTTTTGGGTCTTGATAACCTTTAGCTGAGGAAGCTGTGTGATTATGTCACCATTGAATGGAGCTACCTAGTATGTTTGGGTGACAATTGATACTAACAATTGATACCAGTATTGAAGAAGGGGAATATTACTAGTTTTAGATTGAGGGTAACAGTCGGTGCCTACCTACCTTGAAGTGTGAACACCCGGTATTGAATGGTTCATTGGGTAATAATTGATGCTAGGTACTGAAGCAAGGCACCTGGGTATTATGAGGTCGGCTACTTTGAGGTCTGATACTGTGCAACATCATACATGTGGAATCTGTAAGTCACCATCCGTCGTACCACGTTAAGAGACTTTCCCTCTGGTAAATTTCCACATTGTCAGTCACTTACCCATGTATCACGATTAGTTTAATTAAGTGCGGTTTTCCAATGGGACGATATCTTTGAGATCTGCCCCGTTGAGTAACATGAAGGCATTTTCTCTTCCCTTTTGGGTTCGTGCTTTCTTCGCTTTTCTTCGCTTTTCCCCTCCTTCCCTTTTTGGGTAAGAACTACCGACGGAGCTAGATACTTTAGTTACCCCACGGGCCTAGAGACATTCACTTTGAGAGGGACTACCTAGTACACCATGCGATGCCATGCCATGCCTTGCTCTGCCTCAGTTCCTCAGTTCCTCAAAATCTTCAAATCATCTTTTCCATCTTTTCCATCTTTTCTATCTTTTCCATCATTTTGGTACGCACTACCACTGCCACCAAAGAAACTTATGGGAAAAAATAGCCTTTAGTCCGCTATGATCTTCACGCCATCTCTTTTTCCCACTAGTTATCAAAGCTACATGTCAACTAATGCAAGGTTCAGATGAAGCTGGATGAATCTAAAAACTTCAGTCGACTATCCATCCAATCATTTCAAATTATCCTTCAATCATCGTTCTCTTTACCTCTTCATCTCCAAGGACATGCTTGGAGTGAAGCGGAAGCCAAGGAACTATACCACAAGAAGGTTATCCTTCGTTTTCCCTTAATATAGCTCGGCCACAAAATATTTCTTCCCCTCCACATCTTTCAACCTCGATTTCTGTATTCTCTTCATTCCTTCTCTCTATTCATCTTCTACTTCTCTCAATCTTGATCACATTCGTTTCTGGAAGTAATCAGTTCATTTGCCTTGCGATCATCATTGCAATAATTCCTACAATATCATAATCTTAATAATTCACCAGTAAATCTTTCCACTTCTTGACACACAAGATGGATCAACAACCTACATTTAGAGGTCACGCACCTCAATCATCCATTGCCACAACACCAAGAGCTGGAACACCCGAAAACATAAATCCATTCGGTGGTGATGATAGTATTCAACCTTCTCCATCTCAAGACAGAGTTGTCAATCCTTTCGCTTCCCCATTCGCTTCGAGACCTGGCTCTACATTCGGTGCATCATCTGCGATAGGAAGGACATATGGCACAAGATATTTTCATTCCAGAAGAGTAAAGAAGGGAGAAGTTGATCAACCATGGAAAGCCACTAAGGATCCAAAGGAAAAATGGGTTACAATCATTCCCATCATTGGCATGCTCATAGGTCTGGGAATTGCGGGATTTTTGATCTATGATGGAATAGCTTCAGTTACCCATCATAAATACTGTCCAGTTATGAGTGATGATTTCTCAAGTGGTACACTCAATACCGATATTTGGACTCAGGAAGCAGAAGTTGGTGGCTTTGGGTATGTGCTCCTTTTCAGCTTTTGACGACAAATGTACTAACTCACATCTCGCAGTAACGGAGAGTTTGAGCAAACTACACTTGACGATGAAAATGTATTCATCAAGGATGGAAAGCTCGTCATCAGACCCACTTTACAAGATGCAAAACTTATCGAATCGAATACAGTTATCAATCTTACATCGGATGGAACATGTTCATCCGATGTTCTCACCAATTGTGTTTCAGTCACCAATACTACCGCCGGTACAATCATTCAACCTGTCAGATCTGGAAGAATCAATACCAGGAAAGGCGCAACTATTAAATATGGACGTGTTGAAGTAACTGCCAAGTTACCTGCTGGTGATTGGTTATGGCCCGCGATTTGGCTATTGCCAGTTGAGAACACGTATGGACCTTGGCCTGCATCTGGAGAAATTGACATTGTTGAATCCCGAGGAAACAACCACACCTATGCACAAGGAGGAAATAACATCATCTCATCTACTCTCCATTGGGGACCCGATTCTGCTAACGACGGTTACTGGAGAACAAATGTCAAGCGTACTGCGCTCCATACCACTTACTCTGACGGATTCCACACATTTGGTCTTGAATGGTCTGAGAAGTACCTTTACACCTACATTGACTCCAAGTTACTCCAAGTACTCTACAATACATTTAGTGAACCGCTCTGGCAACGTGGTGATTTCCCTGATTCCAACAGCAACGGAACTAGAATTACAGATGTTTGGTCCCAAACCGGTCGTGACAACACACCTTTCGATCAGAGATTCTACCTCATTCTTAATGTTGCAGTTGGTGGTACCAATGGATGGTTTGCTGATGGCAAGAGTGGAAAGCCTTGGATTGATGCTTCTGCTACTGCCAAGAATGATTTCTGGAATGCGAGAGATACTTGGTATCCTACCTGGACTGCCAATGATAACCAAGGCCAAATGGAGGTTAGCAAAGTTCAGATGTGGCAACAATGTGATGGAACGGAGGATCTTTAAGTGTGTGTTTTTTTTGCTTTGAAGGGAGGGGGGAGATAAATCGTTGTAATAAATTATTCTAGAATATAGCTGGCGCTTGGGGATATGTATCGTCTTGATTGATAGGGTCCGACCGTCAAAGAGATTCGAATGGGATGTTATTTGATCAAGTTACTTCTTTCTTAGGTATCTTTTCCTTGGAATCTCTCTCTCTGCCTAGGTAGGTAGGAGTAGATCAATAGCTTAGCTATGTCTGTTAGTTAAGATTTATATCTATATATATAATTATCCAATTTGCTCAAGTTGTCAATGTGCATGTGTGTATGCGATGGGATTGTTTTCTCATCGTGGTAATGTAATAATAATATAGATGTAGTATTGCAGTGTGTACCTTGCTTGGCAATGTAATGCAATGTGATTACTTCATATTGTATCTCATCTTACCCTATATAAAACAGACGCCGTGCAATGTATTACTCCATGATCCAGATACCTAGGGAGTAGATAGTAGATACACATATTGAAAATGGAAAATTGAAATAGTAGGAGATCGCTAGCGAGAGAGAGATGTAGTGGAATGAATGCGATGAATGCAATGGATGGATAGTATTTATAAGATTGTATATATACGTGTGTATTGTGTATTGTCTGTTTGCTGTACGTGAATTTGAGTTTGAATGTGAGGAGGTGAGATGAGATGAGATGGTTTGGGGGATAGGTAAAATGAGGGTATGAGAAATGAGATGTGACGAGGGATGTTTTCGATAGGTGGGTAGGTAGATGGGTAGGTGTGTGGGAAGAATATTATGTGTTTGTGTTTTGGGAGGGAAGGGGGGAAATAGGGGAAGATTTTTTGAAAGATGGGTTTTGAGATGGCTTTTTATTGAATGGATGGATATATGAATCTTATATGATAAGTTCACCTTGTGCGGAAAGGATCAACGAACGAAAGCCATATGAAAGTGCATGAAAAATCATTTGCCGGTTCAGTAGTGAGTATATGAGGTGTGAGGGCTGCGCATGACAAAAATTCCATTTTGATAGTCAGGAGCAAAGTACTTCGTAGTTTTGAATGAAAATTTCAAGAGAAAAACACAAACCACCTAGTGATGAGTGTTCAGTTTTCCGAATCTCAAAATGCAAACTTGCCCGTCTTGACACTGAGCGGTCGATGAGAGGCCACCAGGACATGTTTCAACAGGTCGATAAGATACTCATCCGTTCCTAAAGATGTCAGATACATTTTGAATAGTCTGCTATGTTCATTATCTCACCTGGAGCACCTAATAGCATCAAGCCAACCGGTTGATATTCCTTGGCTCCGGTAACTTTCGAATCGTATAGACGTTGTCCCACTGTATTATTTCCGTTAGCATATCTTAAACATCTTCAATTTAGATATGGGGAAATACCAGGAATTGATACTGCTGGCCCACCACCAAGTGATGAAAATACAGTGATAGGAACGTTAAATCCTTGCCACGGCGCGCCGGATTCCTCTACAGAACTACTTCAAATTAGTACAAGAATGTCATCAACTGAGAAATGTTGGAACTAACCCAAAATACCCATCACGATAAGGGATATCTGGTAGGGCACAAGGCAATAGCATGACTCCACCATCATTGAAAAGATGCTCTTTCATAAAATTGGAAAACAGTTCTTTCTCTTCCAATGCTGTGGTGAGTTGATCTTGTGTTAGCTTCGCACCGAGATCCCTGTTGGTATGTTAGCGTCGAATGTTGATATCTCGAAGTGAGGGAGTACCATTTATAGCGGAGCAATGGCTCTGCATACGGCTCTGTGCCAAATCTTCTCTTGTAATCTTCTCGGAATGGGATGGTATTGTTGTAGTGTCCATAAAGTTGAATATGTGCCAATGTCTAGACACTGCAATTAGAGAGGGAAGACAAGATATTCTTCAGTACTACTTCTACTTACTGTTTGGAATGTCTCCGCAAAGGTCTTTTCAGACGAATCTTCAGGTGCGTGTGACTTCCACAGCTCATTCATGGTGGTGGTTGTGCGCTGAAGCTGGGTGGCCTTCTCGAAATCTTGTATGAAATCTTCCATAACCTTTTTCATCTCTGGAGCTAAGTTTTCGTATCTTTCCGACAAGATCGTTAACTTCGTAGGCATCTGTGGGAGAGTATTTCAGCCAGAATCTCAGATTTCATAGGGTATAAATTACCACAGAGGAAGGGTTTGGATCAGAATCATCAGATGGACCGAGCCATAACTTCGTGGCAGCACCAAAATCCGATATGTCCCGACTGAAAATGCCAGGTGTATCGAGATGTCTATATTGTTAGTTCAGACTTCCCTATTACTAGAAGTAGATGACTTACGATGAAACCGGAACAAGACCCTCGCAAGAGATACGACCGTGAGTGGGCCTGATACCAAAGAGTCCATTATCAGCCGCGGGGCTGACCATACTTCCGAGTGCTATCATACCAGTCAGTTGGTAGCCATCTTCATGGAGTCTCATACAAACAATCTGAGCCAATAGTAAAGTCCAACCACTCATATCCAGCAAGTGCAGCTCCACTTCCCGCACTGCTACATGAAGTGTCTAGATAACCACAACCCCGAGGATTAAATGGCGCTTGATAATCTACCCAATCTCTTGGGCCCATTCCAGATGAAAAAGGAGTTGTCTTGACTTTTCCGATGATCACAGCTCCTTCATCGATGAGTCTCTGAATTGATGGAGCCGTGGTGCTTGATACATCTCGAAGGGCTTCGTATGCTTTGCTGCAGACAGTAGTTTTGACACCTTCAAGGTCAATTATATCTTTCACTGCTATGCGTTTACCTAAGAGTGGCCGAAGATTTGATGGCGAAGAGTAAAGTCGAGATGGAACTGGAATATAATTCATAAGTGTTCTTTGGTAGCTGGTAAACACCATTAGTACTAACAGTTAATGTTAGGTATATTATCATACCGATTGCTACCTGGAGCAGTTGGCATAACGCCACAAACAAATGCACCGAGAGGGTCTGAGTACAATTTATAAATTCTATAAATTTTTGAACCACTCAGAATATAAGGACCTTCAGGAAGATCTCCTTCGCATTCGAACGATCTCAATGTGAGGATCTGTGATTGACCAGCATTGGCTATGAGGCGCAACACTCCAGGAGACTCTTGCGCCAAAACATTACGTGCAAAAATGTCACACCATACATCATCTTTCCTCGAGAATTCTTCCCATTTAGAATCCAACCATGATTGGGTGATTTGATCATTACCCACATCGACAGAAAGAATGGTTAGCGGCACCTGGCCTTCAGTAGTTTCACCATTAATGTTCGTGGACACGCCATGTCCGAGGAGGTATGAATTTGTGCCAATATTGACTATTGAAGGGTGGATTACAGAAGAATCCATCATTGTAGAATTGAGGCCGTTAAATGAACTTCACCGGAATTGTAGTGGAGATGTCTTCCTATAGACGGTTTAATGCCACGACTGTCTCGTTACCACTCACTGGCTCTGTATCAGACAATTTGATTTGAGGACTTCCTTGATCCACTGAGCTCAATAGATTGGTTCAATAACTAAACAGCGACGATTGAGAACAAAAGCAAAATAAGATGGTTTACTAGGTAGTCACACGTCTTATCGGTGATTGAGAAAGGAAGGAAGCAAGTGCGGGGTGAGATGAACACATGCATAGATGCCTTTGGCCATCGATTGCTGACGACAATGTGACTCACATTAACAATCTCTCATAAGCAGAGTGATATTCATATATGAAGTATTTGATACTCCCATTCCTGCCCTCCGAAAACATGGAAGATCAGCAAATTCCAAATTTGTCGAATAATGTCCCAGCAATCTACAACCCCACCTCCTCATTGGAAACGACAATCACATAACTTTACCACGCCACGTCTGGTGCCGCCCATTCATGCTTATTATAAGGAATGAATCTCAGAAAAATCCTTTTGGTGGAGTTGTAGATCCAGATTTATCTATCGAAGAACAAGCCCGACGACTTGAGGCACAGAAGATATCAACAGCTGCGGGAAAAAAATGCTTGGCTTGTGATTATTCTTAACGATAGCGGGAACCACCGAAAACCGACGGTGTGGAAGTATTGGCAGTTCATAATGGTCTTCTGATTGGTATTACGGGTTTCATTTCTTCCCAATGAAAGAATCCGATAATAATACAGGTGAAAATATATTAGTCGGTGGTACGGGGGTGTTGATTGATTACCGATTTGCGAGAAAGGGGTATGCTAAGGAGACTTTGTGTGCCGTTGTTGAGTACAGATTCAATGGATTAGGTTGTGGAGAAATCACACTTGACACTTATACGATCAATGCATCATTTCGAAATCTGATGAAAGTAGTGAGTTTGGAACATGTTGTGGCTCTGAGAAGGATTGGTGATGGTCCTCCAGATGAGGAGGGGCATTATGAATTTGGTGTACAGAAATGGAGTGCTGAGAGGAAGTATTTGGTTTGCGATGAGGAATGGCCTTTGTAACTCATGGGGCCTTTTGATAAAGAGCTCCGAGTTCTCAGTTGCTGTCCACGTGAAATGAGCTCAGTATTCCAAAGCTCTTCTTGATTTTTGACTGCCGTTTCGATATGTTCCAGTAACACATTTCTCTCCTCTTTCAAGACACCCCTTTATGGGCCGAGTTATCTCCACCATAGTCTGAAAATGAAGCCGCATAACTCTTAAAATCTTCCATTGCCTGACTGAAGTCCGGCTCATCTGAGAATTCTGTCCCGGTGAGTTAGCTTGGCAAACTACCGAGGCCGATATGGACCATTTTGCCAATACACCAAAAATAGAATTCTACCTAAGCTAAAAGTATATGTAGTAATAGGATACATATTTTTAGTCAAATAGATCACCTATTATTATATTATTTTGTAATTCCTACTTTTTGATATAATATTTATTTTTTTCAAAATATTTATAAGCTAGTTCCTTTTTCTTCAATTAATATTATCATTTCTTTGATTCTTTTTATTTTTTATATTTTATTTTTATTTGTATAATTAATATAAATAAATCTCGAAGTTCATTATTTTTATATAAAGATTCAATTAAACAATAATATATTGATAATTATAATGCTAAGAATATTAAATAATTACTTATTACTGAATTTGATATTGATATTGGAATTAGAATTATTAATAAATATTTTAAACAATAGGGATTTATTTGAAAACCTAGAATCGAATATAATAATTCTATTATATAAAGTCAAATTATAATATATTTCATTTTATTATTAAATAATAAAGAGATAATAATAGTATTCAAAATTAAAGAATAAAATATATCTGAAAGGTAAATCAAAAAAATATATTTATCCCTTAGTTTTTATAAAAAATTTATAATCGAAAAACAATGTGAACAAAATAAATGATTTTTCAAAATTCTTAAAAAAGACTTAAAATTAGATTATATTCAAGATTATAATAGAAAGTTATTATATATCTATTTCTATAGAAAAAGAAAGTTTATATTATAATATAATATTATTTATTCACTCAAAATTATAAAGTATATCCTTATTAATATTCTATATCTATTTTAGAAATATTCTTTTTTATATACTTCGAATATTAAATCCTCAAAATATTAAAAAACAAATAAAATATTTTTAATTAATATATAAGAAATATAAAACTTCTAAATCGAATTTCATTTGATTTATAGATAAGTATAATAAATTATCTCTAATTGAAATTGAAATCTATATATATATTAATATATACTTACGCTTTATTCTATAGATATATATTGGAATAGTAAATAAACAATTAATATCAATTATATATTAATATTTATTATTTTATTCTAAGATTAGTATAATACCTAGATTCTTTTGAATAGATAAAGAGATAGAGTTTCCTCTTATAGCCAAAACTCACTTTATATTATCTCGAAAAATTAATAAAAATATAAAAAAGATTAAAGACTACTTTTAATTTAAAAAAATATTAAAAATCAATGGATTGAGAACTAATAACAAGAACTCCAAATATTATTATTATATTAATAAAGAATATATTTCTCTATCTCTTATCAATTTTTATTTAGATAAATAAAAAAAATTTCTAATTAAACTCTAATAAAATTGATTTTTTTTTTCTGTTTTACTTTTCTTATTTTTTGTACAATTAATTACTAATATAATCTAAAACTATTTCAAAGAATTAATAAAAAATAATCAATATCATAAAAATAAATATAGAAATCAAATTGTAATTCTTATTATTTATATAAAATAAATAAAAAAGGAGATAATAGAATATATAGATCTTTAGAATATATATAATATTCGAAAAGATAAAATATGCTTTTATTATTATATTAGAAAACCTTTTATAATATATTAATTCTTTTAAGAAAAATATACGAATAAAAAGAGAACTATTCTATTTAAACTTTATAAAAAGTTTTTAATAAATTATAAGAAATAGAATATATTTATTCTTATATTATTATTTATATATTTGATTAATTTTATAGATATTAATAAATATCTATTATTAGTTATAATCAAATTTTGTTAAGATTTTGTTTAAAGTTTTGGATATGATTTGAATATTATGAAGTTAAATAATAAAACAGAGTAAGATGAGTTTGTATATATATTAATATATTATTTTTTTTATAAATATTTATAAAGATATATTAATTCGAATTAAGAATCATTTTTATATTTATCTTTAGTATTTATAGATAGATATAATGGAATAATAAAAAGAAAAAAAGTTATAAGCGATATAGTATATAATAATTTAAGCTTTATACAAGCTTAAAGGTATTATACTAATAAAATTACTATAAATGGGAATATGGATTATTTAATTAAAAATGAATTTAATATTGAGATTGGGGATAATGGAATTACAAATTGGAATTAAATTAAATAAAAACTAGAAATATAATTTTTTTTAATATTCCCTATTTCCTTTTATTAATTTTTTTATATAATCGATTTTTTTATTCATTTTTTATATTTTTGAAATAGATTAATTTTTAAATTAATATCCCTAATAAATATCTTATTATTCTGATATAAAGAAAAAATATAATTCCTCTATTAATTTCTATATATATTGTAATACAATAAATCCTAATAAAACCCTCAAAGTTATATCAATTTTCTCTATGTGACAGCAACAGAGTCAAGTCATAGTAATAGAATGAATCAATTATTGTAATTAGAGAATAACAAACTACTATATAAAGAATGAGTCTGAAGAGGGCTTTTATAGGTTTTATTGAATAGGACCTGAATAGGACCAAAATAGGACTAAGATTAAATGAAGTGATTTACTCTACCTGATAAAATAAATAAATAACTAATCAAGGCTTAAGGCTGAATCGTTATATCACCCCCCCTTCGAGAATTGACTTACCCTTAAGTCTACTTTGTTCTCTTTACTTGTAACAAGCCCGATTTTTTTTTTATTATTACCATATTTCCTATTCCTTGTTTAATCGATTTTCTTTTTTTAAAAAAAATAACAAAAAGTTTTTTATTATTATTATCAAGAATTTCGATTGGGTTTTTATACATTTGATGTAGTAGTATTATTATTGTGGCTTGAGTTTCTCAATTATAATTTGGGATATTATTAATAACCTGTAGTATATACTAGCTATTATGTCTTTTTCCTTTTCCCTGGAATTAGGAGCTAATAAAAAAATATAGTTTGAAGGCTTTCCATTTATTATAGAGATTAGAGGGCAGTATATATATACTATATTTTTGTAACAACAAAAGTTTATAGGAGGAACAGGAAACAGGGGATTTGAATATAAGTTTGTGTTGGATGGACTTTATAAGGTATATATATATAATATATAAGGGGATTAAATGATATTATTATTTTTGCTTATCCCCTTTATATGAAGGGGGTAAATAATTATATATATCTAGATATAATTTTATTCTATTTACACTTGAAAAGTGGAAATAAAGTAAATATGTGGTTTATTATATAGTTTGCTTATATATTCTAATACAAACTTTACTTTTTCTTTTTTATATAAAATATATTTATATAAATTCTATTATCAATTTGGAACTTATAATAAATAGCTATTATATCAATTAATCCAAATCTTATACCTATAGATTTATTAAACAAATATAAAGAATTTGATTTAAATTAATCAAAATATTATACTAAAATCTATCAAAATCTATTAAATCTATTAAGGTTTTATATTGTAAATAATCTTTGATTATTTCGGATAATATATTAGGTTTTGGATTAATATTGATACCTTTGAAATTATAAAAAAATTGAATTTTATTAATCAATCGAAATGTATGTCTTACCATTACCAAGAAAGCAATTGCTTGTACCGAAATTTACTTTATATTTACTGTAAGACTA